CAACTGTTTGAACTATTACCGTCAGGCCGACGGTACAGGTCACATAAAACCAGGACAAACAGATTCAGGGATAGCAAACAAAAATGAAAACAAATCCTAAATAGTTCTGTTAACACGTTGGCGCCGTGCGAGGGCCGCATTAACGAGCTAACCATGCTAATGCGTTGACGCTGTGCAGCCCTCGCACGGGGCGATCCGCGTTAACTCGCTGACGGAGATTTTCCGCATTAATGCGGTTATGGCGTTAACGTCATTTTGACGAGATTAACGCTGACAGCATTAATCCCAACACTAATTGAAAACCAAGAATTTAAGAAGAACAAAGAACCCCAACCAAAATCGGCCAGTTACCATGGCACGGACTGCCGGTGGGATGAGGATTTCAGTCAAAAGCTGAAATCAAACTACAGAAACATATTTTCAGAAGAAGTCGTACAACTTTACTGGCTTTTAGTCAAGCCCTCCTCTGTTTCCCTGATCTCTCAAAGTGCAAACCTGAAACAGACAGCAACAGCAAAGCTTGTCCTCTATTTTCGACTGTTGGTCTTACCAGGCGAAGGCTGACAAGTTTTTTCAACACAACAGGAAATGTTTAACTTGCATGAACAGTTTGCTTTACCTCACTGGAAAGACTGTATATAATCACACCTTCATGTTTAGTGTGAACTCACCGTAGGGCTTCAAACTAATCCAAAGCCATCTTTTGTATACATTCTTTGATTGCACCTACTCACCAGAGTCCCTTCTGCTAATGTACAGCAGCATAACTGGGACAAACCACACACAGAACATAGTGAACCAATAGTTTTAATTGCGAGTATTTTTCAAGTGTGATTATAATTAACACGTTGTGTGTTGATTCTTATAAAATAGCATAGGAAAAAAATATGTATACTTTTATGTAAGTAGAGGATAGAATGTGAAGACTGCAATTACAGATTTGAATGTTTTAAATAAACATAGCATCTGTTTCCCAGTATGGAAGTATTGGATAGTTATGTTGCATTTCTTATATTTTTGGCAATTATTTTACCAGAAATCTAAGAGAAGATCAGTTAAACTGCATGGCAAAGCAAAATTGTCCTTAAGGCCTTGTTGCTGCTTTTTCTAGTGCTTTAACTGCATTGAATGACCTTCTGCAGGAGATAAAGTGTGCTCCTTTCATGGAGATAACCAGCTGTCATTAATGCCTGGATGGGAGACTCTAACCCGTGCATTGGTTCATATGTGATTTTTTTTTTTTGTTCCCTCTCTGGTCAGTGCCTCTGACCTGCACTTGCCTGTTAAATTGCTTAGAATTAGCATGTACGACAGAACTGGGACACATAAAAGCTGCTATTTGCTTAAGTCCAATGTGCCGCGTCAAACAGGCAAATCTTATGAGCTGCATGCAAAGAAAGAGAGAGAGATATCTAAGTTTGAAACCAGCTCCCAACAGTCTTTTGTAAACAGTATCTTCCAGGACCCTGATGTCAAACATTACCAAGCACAGAACTAACAAAAGGAGTTCTGTTGTTTGGGATCTGGGATGCATCAACTGCGTTATGTGTCAGCTACCAGTGTAGTTTCCTGCTCCCCTATCTTTCTCCCCCCCAAACCCATTACACCTATCTTATCGCATTTTCCACTCCCAAAGCTTTGCAGTCACATTTTCTTTACTTGCCTTCCTAAAATTAAGGATCTTGCCTGCCTGCCAGGTTAGCTGCTCGTAGATCAATCCCCTGCCTGTTTAGTTAATTGTCGGCAATTGTGAACTGTGTGTAATTCATCCCTCGACGTAATCCATCAGCTGATCGATCGTATTGACGCACAGGAGTCTTCCTGTTTCGACGTGTGTTTATCACAGCGGTGTGGAGAACACGTGTGGAGAGAGGCTGATGGATGTTTGTCATGTTGATGAATATGAAACAAAGCACTGAAGCAAGGCATACGTTAACATGACTGTGACTTATGCTCACTGTAATATTATCAATTAAGTTTAGTTTAATTGTTTTTTCTAGGACACTTAATCACACTGAGGCTTATATAAAATATAGATTTTTTTTTAATCTGCTGACTCAAAATCTTTAATCAAAATCCATGTTAGAAAAGCAATGGACAAACAAATAATTGAAAAAGTATATGCTTTCATTATTTCATATACGAAAAATATTCATATTCACTCATTCTGAATGCCTGATTGTGATTCTTTGCTGTTTTCCTTTTTTTTAGACACCCTGAAGTCACCTATCGGTTCAGGTTCACATTTCGGACGGCGCCATCTTAAGCTTGACATCTTGAAACCAGGGACACGGCAGACTCATAAGGTAAGGTCGCCACTTCTTAAAACAGCCTTCTTTATTGTCTGTGTTACTCTAAATTGAAAAATAATTTCCAAAATGCACACTGTGATGTGTTAGATAAGGACTGGAATTCATGAGACCATAAATGTATTCGTTTAAGTGTGAACGAATGATAACTGCCACGGTACAGTAATAAAACAGAATACTTTTAATGTCAGCTACTAAGAGCAGCAATGTTTAAACATATAGTCAAATATTTGCGCACATCCTTAGTTAAAATTGCTAAAACTGATGAAAAAGAGTGGTTGGTGTGCAATAGTAACCAGACCAGCATTATTTGTTGACCTAAGGTAAGAACTTGGGAAGGGATACTTTTATTTTGTGGAACATCTGTAGATACCAATTAAGGGGCTTTTTAAATAAAAATATTGTTTGTAATCAGTGATGGGAATAATGATGTTACAAGTAATGGCGTTACTAACAGCGTTACTTTTTTCAGTAACGAGTAATCTAACTAATTCCTATCCCTATCGTTACAACGCCATTACAGTTACTAACAAGAAAATGCGGTCCGTTACTGTTTTTCAACAAACAGACGGTTGAAGCTGTGTTCAGTTTACCGCATCTTATATCAGTTGCGCAGAAGTAGCTGTAAGTAATCTGGGCCCTACAGCTTTAAGCAGCTGCGCGCTCCCGTGGACGGTAATCACGATCACTGTCTAGCACAACACCTGGAGCTAAGGAGGCAAAACAATTGCATGAGTGCTGCTGTTTGACTGAGGAAGAGTAAAGTAGTCGTGGTAAGCCAATCACATGACCACTTAAAGACAAAGCAACAAGATGATATATACCAGTTTTTAAATTGTGTTGATAGGCCACGTAAAACCAGAGTCATGACAAACAATATATACGCGCCGTTTTTTCCTGAATAGTTTTGTCACGTTTACTGTCTAAGGACAGCGCAGCGAGACCTCTCTGCTTATGAGCTAAAAGACAAAAAAACAGGACGTTTTAGGAGTGACGGCGAGAGAGAGAGAGAGAGAGAGACATTAGAAAAAGAGAGAGAGCAAGTTTTGAGATGTGTGATTTAGCGTGTTTGGAGTGTGTAGTTAATGTGTTGTCTTGTGTAGTTAGTGTTTAGTGTTGTGGATAGTTTTGTGTGTCAGAACAATGAGGCGACTGCTGTCTCCAGGTAGAAACAGGAGTGATACACCTGCTGCTGTCAGACCTGCAGGTATCAGGCTGTGATGTTCTCCTTCATAGCGGACAGAAATTATTATTTTGGAGTGGCACAAATAATTTGTGTGGCATCTTATTGAATGCAGAACAGCTGATTGTTCTGTAAATAGTTTGAAATAGGTATTTAAAAAATCAACGTAAACATGTTTGTGGTTGTTACAGTAAAAAATATAACTTTTTCTACTCTAATTTTATGTTTTTTGTCTGATTTTAGATCAACTGTGTTAATACAGTATGTCAAAATGAAAACATGACTGTAAATTCAGACACGTGAGGTTGTGCTGAAAAGAATGATACCAAACAAGGCAAAGGAAATAGTTTTTAAAGGTGAAATGTAGAGGGAAAATCAAAAGTAGTTAAAAATGGCCGATTATACCCTGGACCCCAGAGGGTTAAATGTTTTTTTAAAGTAATGCAATAGTTACTTATCAAGTAATAGAATCTTGCAACTCAGTTACTAGCTCAGTTACTAGTTAGTTCTTCAAAAAAGTAACTATAATTAATTACTTTTTCAAAGTAACTTGCCCAATACTGTTTGTAATAACGTTGAACAAGAAATTTGAAGACATCACTTTAGGTTTTGGGAAAGTGAGGACAAGCTATACAAGTTTACAACTGATACTTTAGCAGCAAGTTGATTTTAAAATTCACAACTGTAACAGCACCTGGTTTTCTTTCATGCGGAACGGGTATCGAGACAAATTTGAATTGGATGATCAAGGACAACCAAAGGCCAGTTTTTACAAGTGGTGTCACAAAGCATTTATAATGAATTCTAAGCACCTCAAATGCAGGGTCTGTTCAGTGAATGGGTTTCACAATTCTTAAGTTTAAAATGCTCACACTCTCACATGTGACAGCATCTGTTGTGCCAGTGATACACACAAGCCCACAGCAACAGCTCACGGTGTGAGCAAGGTGATGCCATGCATGCATAAAAACGGAACTGAATAGATTTCCCTGCATTTGCAGTACTGTAATAAAGTATTTATTTAGTATTTTTCTTGACTTCTTTTATTTTTTTTTACCTTTTTTGTCACACTTGTCGCACGTTACAGCGAATAAAACAAGCTTTATATCAGACATAGATAATGCAAATAAATAAATATATATTTATAGTTTTTTTGTTCATTTCTCAATGATGATTTCATTTATTATTGAGAAAGGGGTTATCCAAACCTGGTTATAAAATGGCCAGCTTCCCCCTCCGGTTAAATCATGAATTCTTTCTAATTAACCACATGTTTTAAAAAAAAAAGCTATCATATCAAAGTTTCACCCTCGAAATTCTTCCAGTTGTGACAACCCAATTATTTTCTGACATCTCATAGAAAGAGTGTTAGGATGCCTGGGTCGTTGACCCAGGGTATTTGAGTTTATTATATTATTTATACTTTTTAGTCTTTGGTTTCTTTGAGTTCTGTCTTATGGTTTATGTCTCTGTCTTCTTTAGTTGCTCTGTCTCCCCTACCACCTGTATCCCCTTGTCTAGTTTGCGTCTCTGTGTATCCTTAGTTCCTATATCCCCGTGTTCAGTCAGTGTTTGTGTCTGCCCTGGTCCCACGTCTCTGTTCCCTCTGTAGTGCCTGCATGTGAGTCTGTGTTATGTGTTTCCTGTTTTACTTTGAAAGTATGTGTCTCATGTAAATGCGTCTGGTTTTGCTTCCTTTGTCTCGTTAGGCCTGATTTGCCCCAGCTGTGTTTCCCTCCTGTTACCCATTCCCTGATTGCTCCCTCTGTGTATTTAAGCCCTGTGTTTCTCTGTGTCCGTGTCGCGATCTACCGTTTTCCTAGCTGTGTGTTCTGTCATTTCTCTAGTTTAAGTTTGTTTTGAGTTTTTTCAGTTATGTTATATTTTGAGTATTCAATTAAAGCCTTTTTTGAGTTCACGTCTGTCTCCGGAGTCTGCACCTTGGGTCCTATTCCTGCCTGCACACAGCCATACCTAACAAAGAGCACAAAACAGCAATTAACAGAACTAATCAACTTTGATTACTCGATAAGAAAGATGAATATTAGTTGCAAAACTAATCCAGCAGTCCTATTGTATCTTGCTAATGAAAGAAACCTGAGCTCACCTCTCTTGACAGACACACTGTGCTACAGAAAACCTGAAACTGTTCCAAAAATCATTGTGTGAGTAATGAACAGGATAAGGCCTGAGACTCGTTTTTTGATGGAGATGAATTACCGAGAATGAAAGAAAGAAGACAACGAAGGGGAAAAAAACACTACAAAAGCAGCAGAAACACCGACTGACAACCCAGACTCGGCGCTCAGATCTCAGAGTCCAAGTCTCTGACAACACTGATGGCAGCGTCTGCACTGGGTGACAGGCCCGATCCATTTGGCGCAGCGCGTGAAGACACAAACACAAGCTGTCTAAAGAGAGTAAGGTAGACTTCAATCAGCTAAAAGGTGATAAAACATAATTAATTCAATCACCCACTCAGAGGACAGGGAGGGTAGAGGAGAGAGAGAGGCTGAGAGGAAAGCAAAAACCTGGAGGGATGCATTCGCACGGGCACGTTAATGGGAAACTGCACTTACTTTCTTTCAAAGCCCTTTCTACCTATTTATCCACTACTCAATAAGGAGCTTGCATCTGATTCTGTGTGGTTTCACAATACAGCCATTAAACACACAGTCGGTCAGCAGCGCTTGTGCATGCAGATAAAAAAGAGAAGGGATCCATGTTAATATAACTCATACTTAGACACCTTTATTCATTAACAGTAACCCGGATCATGATAAATGACTAACAGAGGGGACGAGTGCATATGTATGCCTGCCTGCGTCGTCCTAAAGCTGCCCGAGAGACTATTAACACCTCGACCAGTCCAGCTTTCTGTATCAGGGTCAAGTAGGCTGCGATTAGTCCACCACAACATGCACCGCACCTCCTCGAAAAGAGCCTGAAAAACAGGTTTCAATAAAAGCAAGAGCATCAGATTCCTTCTTGTCAGCCTGGTGTGAAATATACACCAGGAAAATTAGTAGTTTGTGTGTGAAGGTAGATGACACCGAGAGACGGAGATCAGAGAAGTGAGAGTGAATCCGTGAGGGGAAGTAGATGTTCATTTCATGAAGTATATTCCTGAGAAATGGCGTACTGGTGAAAGTCGACTCCACTTCCCCAAGGCACACCGGTCTCCCACAAGAGGAAGGTGTGAGGAAGGAGAACAATAGCTCCTCAAAGGCAGAGTCAGGTTTCAGCACAATTGCTGCCCGCAGTTATACAAGGCCGTTACATCCTGTCTCCCATGACAACCAAGCCCCAAGCTCCGGGGATTGGCCTCGCCGGTCTTACCTGACCACAGCGGGTAGTCGCTACTAGAGATGAGCTGATGACACAAACAAGCTCCTATTAACAAAACATTTAGCTTTCATTAGTTTGACATTTAAAGTCCTCATACTTCCATAATTTAGCTGCCAGTGGCAGCAGTTTCTTATCAGCATGTTTTGATCCTTTGTAGGTCTCCACAAATCAATATTAATTAAATAAATATTTCATACTCACAGTGAATCAAATAACAAATGTTAAGAAAGGGCTAGTGTGCAGTTGATGAACCCAGAGAAAATTAGGCTATCAGACAGTCTCTGAATTTAACATTGAGAACAAAGTAATTTGATTCCTAAATAAAAACATTAAAGATGCAAAGGAAAACTGCTGTTACCCGTTAGCCCAGTCTAACAGCAAATCATGAAACAATCTGTTCTCGTTCAGTAAGTAATACAATATCATGTACTTTATTGTGTCCTAAGATGAATTTGTTGTGCTGTTA